CCGAGCGGGGGGGGGGGGGGGGGTGCATTTAGCGTGCGGTGTGCAAACAATTTACACACTCCAAAGTTGCAGACGCAGCTCTGGACTCTCGAACAATTCATCAAAGTGAAAGAACAGCAACAACAAGCAGCTAAACGACTTTGACAGGCAGTGAAAAGGGACAGGGAAAGGGACAGGGAAGGGGACAGGGAAGGGGACAGGGAAAGGGGTTACAACAAAAACAAACCAAGGCAACAAACAAAAAAAAACAAACAGGAGAAACAAATCGAATACCCTGCAAAAAAAAAAAAAAAAAATGAGGGCGCGTGGCTGACTTAACGCCCTGTTTTGTAGTTGTTTATGTTTTTTTTTTTTCATACAAGCAGCGCGGCGGGTGGAAGGGGGGGGGGGGGGGAGGGGGTTGGGTGCTGGCTATGCCGAGGGTCGCATAATTAGCAGCCCTAATGTGTGTAACGCTCATATTTTTTTCTGCCCCTCATTTTGTATGCCCTGAGCCCATTGCAAATGGGTGAAAAGGGTATATTGGTTTTGTGCAAATGCAAATTTGTGTAACAGGCAGAATGAATGGTCGTAGACCCCAGAAATTATACATATTCTTGATCAGCATCAATATCCGAGTCGATCTAGCCATGTTCGTCCGTCTATCCGTCCGTCCGTCTGTCTGTCCGATTGTCCGTCCGTTTACCCATCCGTCCATCCGTCCATCTTTCCGCCCGTCTGTCCGTCCGTATATCCCTCCATTCATCCGTCCGTCTGTCTGTGCGATTGTCCGTCCGTCTATCCGTCCGTTTATCCGTTCGTCCATCCGTCCATCTTTCCACCCGTCTGTCCGTCCGTCTGTCCATTCGCCCATCTATCCGTCCGTCCATTCGAGTATCTTTCCGTCCATCTATCCGTCCATCAGTCCGTTCCCCTGTCCATCCCTCCGCCCATCTCAGTTAGTTTCCGATAATCGATTACTTGCTCCGTTGTCAAGCAATCGATAAACACAGTTATCGAAATCCTGTACTTTGAGCAAATCCCTTAGGTTTTTGAGAGCCCAATAGAGATGAAGTATCTTTCATTTCATAGATCGAGCTACATTTGTGGTTGTTAGAAGAGTCTCCAGGGTATCCCCAAGTCGGGCACTACCGATAAGAGCTCTCTCACTTGTTTTTACTGCGTCTCTGCCTCTATTTGACTTTCATTTTTTGTCAGTTTTTTACAATTTGTTCGTCCGTTTAAAATAGAACAAAATAGAAAGAACAAAAAAGGCAAAAAGCAAATCAAATCATGTGACAAGTTTCTAATGAACCTCAAAAGGTGCCACGACCCGGTCTGAGGCGGCCTCTGACAACCCCCACGTCTGGCATTTGTGTGGCCTATAAATGCTAATGAGCCCAGCGTTTATTCTACTTACCTTTTTTTTTTTGTCCATTTTATATTTTTTATTCTGTTCTCTTTTTTTTTTTTTCGTGCATTTTACCCACGTTTTTTTATTGTCGTTGTTGCTGCTAGTTAATTTTTTTTATAGATTTTTATGGTGATTTTTTGGGCAATTTTTTGTGGGTCGTTCGGCTGATTCTTGTGGGACCAAATTTTGCTGCTGCTGCTGCGGCTGCTGCTACTGCTGCCGCTGCTGCTACTGCTGCGGCTGCTGCTACTGCTGGCAGTAGTTCTGGCGACGGTTGTGTTAGAGATTTGATTCGCCTTTTGCTTGCCCCCGAGGCGGGTAGTTTTGTCCGCTCAGCGTTATGGTCATGAGCCGTGTTTGATTTTTCTTTTCTCCCCGAGGGCCGCAGTTCAGGCCAATCGCCCCCTTGCTTCCTCTCTATCTCTCTCCCATTCTCTCTCTCTCATTCTCACTCTCGCTCTTTGCATTTGGTTCCACTTGAGTTTGTTTGCTTAACGACCTTTGAAATTAGCCAAAACTAAGGGGCAATAGGCGTTAGATGGACCCAATGCAGCAGCCCGTAGATTAGACACTGTCCGCAGAGTCTGACAACAACAACAACAACAACAACAACAGCAACAAAAGCAACAATAACAATTTATACTATTTATATGCAAATTTTGCAAGCGCCTCGCAACTGTGCACCATTTGCTGGCCTAATTAAAATTGGGCTACCCATTTTTAATTAGGCCAAAATACAAGCTACAACAAACAGATTTATATGTAAGCAGGTACGAGCGGGATAATCGACAGAGAAGGGGAGAGAGACAGAGAGAGAGAGAGAGAGAGAGGGAGAGGGGGAGTTGCTGTCTGAGATGAGTTAAGGAATTGCTTGGAGCTTGGAGTTCTTCTTCCTCGTCAGCCGAAACGCTTCGCTAACTCAATACCCTTTGTGGGCCTTAGCATGCTTCAGTATATCCTAGCAGCAAAGTCCTAGGGGAAACCAAAACCCATTCGAGAGCTAACGAATATTTTAGTACAAGATTTAATTGGGGCAAGCGGAAAGCATAGCAAGAACTACCAAGCCAAATGTGCAACATTTCAACCTAAATCTTAAATAAAAAACAACAAGCATTTATGTGAGAAATGAAAACAGACGAGCAAATATAGATATCTTCGGTTCGTCGAAGATTTTATATCCTTGCCGACAAGATCGTGAAGGCTGAAAAAAAAAACATCTTGTCAAACAGAATAAATTGCATAAAAGAGTCTACTTCCCGACCGATCGTTCCTATGGCAACTATATGATATATTGGTCCGGTGTTCATAAGATTTTGCATATATGCAGGGATCAAAGGGAATGATATCTTGACATATATATATCTTGTTTACCATACAGGAAACTACTTCCGGACCGATCGTTTCTATGGCAACTATATGATATAGTGGTCCGATCCGGCCGATGCCGATGTATGCAAAGATTTGCAATATCTTTAAAAGAAAGAGACTAGTTAGAAATACCATCGAAATTACCTTCGGTGTTTATTGTCCGATCTTTATGAAATTTGCAGTTCAGCGAAATCGCATAAAAATCTATGCAAATACCCAAGCCCAAGGCTTAGTTACTTACAATTTTAAAATAGTCGGTGGGAAGTTATTTAAAAAGTGAAATATTTTAAAGCTGTTTAAGCTATAAGAGAACCTAGTTGCCTAGTTAGATGCATCCAGCTCTTATAGTTTTCCAGCTATGGGCATTTTGCAGAATCGATTATTCTCGATTTTATGTACGACAGAAATCAAATAAAAACTCATGCTGCGCATCTACGTGCATATATATTTCAAATCTTAATTCTCTAGCTTTTGTAGTTCCTGAGTTACAGGCGGATAGCTGGAACGGGCTAAACGCAGCGCATCCTGATTAAGGACGAAAACGGAGATGCTTTCCACGGACTGTCTCTATATAGTTAAGAGTCGAGTATTAATCGTACAGCGATTTCTTAGCTAAACTTCCGTTCCGTTGAATGTTTAACTCTAGACCTTAAGCCGCATATCCCTCTGCTGGGCAGCTCATTGATTATTTTCCTAACTGATTTGGTGGCTGTCATAATTTCGGTGCTCGTCCTTATCAAATGCCTGTCCATTATCTGATTTAGTGCCAGCCCCTTTCAACTTCGGCTCGGACACGCCCAGCCAGGCAGCGAGGCCGACGCGTCCACAGCTTCCTATCGATTATAGTTAATATATGAAGGCGCTTCGTCTGCGTTGCCTTCTAGCAAATTAGGGGCACAGACCCCAAGTGAAACTGTGCCACAGCACAGCGAGAGAGAGAGAGACAGCGAGAGAGGGAGAGGGAGAGGGGAAAAGTCAGAAAGTCAACAGAAACCATAATTCAGATCATTTTATTTATAACACCCTTGAGGAATTATATTTTATTTACTCTTTCAAGTGTGATGATGAGGCCGCTGAGCCAAGACCCGAGATTCGTACGAATGGACAAGGACCTGTTACCCCTCCCACCCCCCCCCCCCCTCCAACTCCCTTCCTCTTACCACGCTGTGTGTTTTCTCTATGAAGTGTCTGGTCCATTGTTGTGTCAATGCCGAGGGTTGGAACGGGCCGCGAGACACTCCTTCGTTTTGGTAGCAGATGTGTTTATAAATTGTTGAAATCTGTGTGCATTTTAACATATGAATATCACGTACCAGCGCCTCGAATCAGCTACTCAAGGGTGCGGACTGCGGGCTGGAGCTCCTTGACTTGGGCTCATCATTACGTGGAGCTGCTGCAATCAAATCTTCTCTGTTGTGCATTTTATAGGCTTTTATTTAACTTAGGTTGGGTTTTGTTACCGCCTAATTGGTTGGTTAGCAAATTCTGCAATTAAATTTCACTTAAAACTGCAACTAAACATGGGCCAGGCCAGGCCAATGCCAGCTGTGGGTGGGCTGGCTGGTCTGGCTGACTTTAGGCGCCCGAATCGGGTCCGCGTTACATGTATTTTACTTCCGCAGCGGCGCTTTAAACATATCCGAGCCACCAGGCACTGGCAACACCCACCACTTCCTAATTGTGAAAACCAATTTGCGCTGCTATAAATTAGAAAGACAAACGACGGCAGGGCAGGGAATCGACGGGCAGGGCAGGGAAACGACGGCCAGGGCACCGACAACGTTGCCAATGCAATGAGCGCCCGAGCAGGGACTGCGACTTTGGCTGGGCGCCCGAGCAGCCAGCTGGGCAAAGAGACTTTGGCTGCCGGGCTGACGGGCTGGCTGCCTGGCAGGCGGGAGGTGCGCCCAAGCCAGGGCCGCAAAGCTGTGGGCGTGGCACTGGGTTCCTGTTCCTGTGTGCGGTTAGCCGTTAGCATATCTTGGAAATTTACATAAATAGACTTTAATTGTTTGCAATTATAATACGAGCCGAGCGCAAGCGAAGCCCAACGTGCACAGGCGGGCCAACAGCCCTACACTCTAGTTGGCTACCTCCCCCCTCCCCCCACCCCCCCCCTCCATCCAATTCGCGCTCTCTACCCCGCCCACGCGCTTGTCAGTTAATTATGGCCGCTTGTTGGCAGCAGGCTACCCATTTGCAAAAGCGGCTAATGCCAACGACTTATCGACTCTTGCAGTCTCCTCGGCCTCCGCCTCCGCCTCGGCGTCAGCGTCCGCCCACGATGATGAGACGGCCAGCGAGAGCAGCGCCGCAGCCGCCGCCAATCGTCGACGCAGCCGCACCAATTTCAACACCTGGCAGCTGGAGGAGCTCGAGCGCGCCTTTCTCAGCAGCCACTATCCGGATGTGTTTATGCGCGAGGCGCTGGCCATGCGTCTGGACCTGAAGGAGGGCCGCATAGCGGTAAGTCTCCATCCACTTAATAGATCAATTGATAATCGATAATCGATAACATTAATGACCAAAAAAACAGAAGGCAGTTGTCAGCACATGAACAGCTTCGATCAATCAGCTAAATATTACTCTCAGTGGCAATTATTATTTACCGATAACTTATCGATAACACGTGCGCATTTGATTTATTTCAGAAAGTACATTTCTCAATCGATAGTTTGCGATGCTTTCGATGCCATTCGCTTAACGTCTATCGACAATATTGTAGCGATAACTTATCAAAACTTTCGATTGATAGCACACAATCTCTTTGGCGATATCATTTAATTATCAACCTATCGATAATTTGCTTTAGATTGTTCACATGCATGAAACATGTAATCTATAATTATTGACAATACGCATTCGTTTGATTAGTATTAGTATTAGTATTAGTATTAGTATTAGTATTAGTATTAGTATTAGTATTAGTATTAGTATTAGTATTAGTATTAGTATTAGTATTAGTATTAGTATTAGTATTAGTATTAGTATTAGTATTAGTATTAGTATTAGTATTAGTATTAGTATTAGTATTAGTATTAGTATTAGTATTAGTATTAGTATTAGTATTAGTATTAGTATTAGTATTAGTATTAGTATTAGTATTAGTATTAGTATTAGTATTAGTATTAGTATTAGTATTAGTATTAGTATTAGTATTAGTATTAGTATTAGTATTAGTATTAGTATTAGTATTAGTATTAGTATTAGTATTAGTATTAGTATTAGTATTAGTATTAGTATTAGTATTAGTATTAGTATTAGTATTAGTATTAGTATTAGTATTAGTATTAGTATTAGTATTAGTATTAGTATTAGTATTAGTATTAGTATTAGTATTAGTATTAGTATTAGTATTAGTATTAGTATTAGTATTAGTATTAGTATTAGTATTAGTATTAGTATTAGTATTAGTATTAGTATTAGTATTAGTATTAGTATTAGTATTAGTATTAGTATTAGTATTAGTATTAGTATTAGTATTAGTATTAGAATTAGTATTAGTATTAGTATTAGTATAAGTATTAGTATTAGTATTAGTATTAGTATTAGTATTAGTATTAGTATTAGTATTAGTATTAGTATTAGTATTAGTATTAGTATTAGTATTAGTATTAGTATTAGTATTAGTATTAGTATTAGTTTTAGTATTAGTATTAGTATTAGTATTAGTATTAGTATTAGGTTTAGTATTAGTATTCGCATTAGCATTATTATTGTTAGGATTAGATTCGGTATCAATATTGGTTTAGGTATTGGTATTGGCTTGGTATTAGTATTGTTGTTGGTATTTGTATTGGTATCGATATTCGTATTGGTATTGGTATTGGTAATGCAATCGGGCATCGAGCTAGTTGCGTGCTTGTTGTAAAACAATTTGAGGGCAACTGCAACTCAATTACTCAATAAAACCAATTACCTGACTATTTTTATTCATTACAATTCATTTTATTTCATTTCGAATTGCGTTTCGTGTCGCTGGCTGTTGCAATGTAATTTCAATTGCAACCAAGTTGTAGCCCCTGCGATTGGCGCTGGCGATGACGATGATGATGTCGATGACGATGACGAGGACGGCGACGACGACGGCGATTCCATAGCTGGGTTTGCATGTCAGCCGTGTGATTATCGTCGTCGGTTTCTTTGGCTGAGACACTCGTCTACGCTTTAGCCAGAAATTGTTTCTTGACATGACATATCAATTTGTCAATGCGAAAAAGACGAGACGAGACGAGGCACTACGACAGACAGACAGACAGACATGCGGAGAGACGGAGAGACGGACAGGTGAGCCAGCTGGCTGATGGGCGGTGCAGTGTGGTGTGTTGCGGTGTGGTGCGATTCGGTTTGGTTTTGGTTCAGGTTGAGGTTTGAGGCGCTCGTTAAAGCGCAGGCAATGTGAGCATCGCATGCAGCTACTCAAAAACAATTTGCTGCACATTAAAAAATGCACAATGCATGCAAATGACTTTAAATTGAAGTGACACACTCGCACACACACACAAACACACTCGCACACACTCGCACACACACTCGCACTCGCACGCCCACTCGAAATGCGTTCGCGTCGCGGTTGAGTCGCTCCTCAAACTGCCCCTCAATTAGCGACGCCATTTTGTTTACGACCCGCCGTCTAACCCCATGAATAACGAGTGCATATCGAAACTGAAACTGTGAATAGTCGCACACAGCTCTACGTCCATTATAACTAAATGATGATAACGATATTATAATAATCACAATATTCATTATTCAGCGAACGATCTGCCATTAATTGTTAGCCAATTCTTAAAGGTATGCTTACGCAAATTGCCTCAAAACTGGTTCAAATATTAATTATGCAATAAACGATTTCTATATTACCCTAGCTAAGGTTAGCTGGGCAAAAGCTAGCCCTGTGAAAACAAAGCACTCTCTTTTAGCATTTTAAGCAAAGTATTAAGAAAAACTAACATTTGCTGCTGCATTTGAACCAGCGACCTCTCGCTTGCTGGTCCGACGCGCAGACAACTAAAATACGCAGACTCTTCAAATTGCGTTTGCTTAGCACAATTTTAAGAATGCATTGTCTTAAATGTTTTTCTGGCAAAATTTGTCGAATGTTTTCCGCCCAATTGGAATTTGAATTTTCCGAAAATTTCGTCAAGGAGCTACAGACAGTCAGTCAATCAGTCAATCAGGAGGAAGAGCTTTATGTATATGAAGATTGAATTGTTCCATTAAAAATTATAAGAAATGAGATGAATCAAGATACGAACGAAAAGCAAAGTTCACAACTATGTTAAGCCAGGTGCCAAGATCAGGACAATAAGCTGATCTTATGTCTCAATCTTCACCAGAATCGGATCGGTATATCATATAGCTGTAATATCATGCGAGAACGAAGCGCTGCGATAACCTAATTCTTAGACCAGGCTTTATGTAGTCATATTAAATATATTAATTATTGTTCACTTTCAGGTTTGGTTCCAGAATCGCCGGGCCAAGTGGCGCAAGAAGGAGCACACGAAGAAGGGACCGGGTCGGCCGGCGCACAATGCACAGCCGCAGAGCTGCAGCGGGGCTCCGATACCGTTGCCGGAGCTGCGTGCCAGGGAACGGTAAGTGGCCGGTACAGCTAACCAGATGCGAGCCAAAGTCTAAGCCCAAATCAATGACCAATCCTCACGAGCAGCGCACAGCGCAGCAAGCGCATCGCCAAGGCGATCGAGCGGCAGGCGCGCAAGCTGCGGCTCAAGGGACTCGACGTGAATGTGGAGCAGCTGCGCGCCGACTATCTGGCCGCGCACCGCAATGACATCGAGCACGCCGAGCTGGAGCAGGACGATGAGCTGCCCATCGATGTGGTGGGCGTCTGCAGCGACAGCCTGGACAACTCGCGGTCGCACAGCTCCAACCTTGCCGCCGCCCTCACGAACCAAAGAAGCTGCCCGGACAACAGCTGCGATGGCAGCGCTGTGATAAAACTGGAGCCACTGGAGCCACTGGAAGCACTGGTACCACTGGAGTCTACTAATCTGCCCCCGCTGCCCGCAGAGCCGACGCAGCCGCCGCCGCCGCCGCCGCCGGCGCAGCAAAAGCCGCAGCACAATTCATGCTTCAGCATCGAATCGCTGCTCGGCACATAACACCCATCCAGAAGCAATACAACAACTATACAAATTATTTATTTTTTTAATAATATATTATATTTTTTTTTTTATTTTTAATCTAGTAATACCCACTAAGTGTGCAGGGTATGCTCAAGTTGTGCAAATATATGTGAAAGGCTAAAACTGAACTCTTCCCGACTTTCAATTGTCAAGCTTGAATATTTCATTTCTTAAACTGAATAAATTTCAATTTTTTTATTTAAGATCCCGTGCTGAGTCCAGCAAGATATTTCCCAGATAAAATTATGCGAGTTGAAAAACTTTTAAGTCTTCATTTTCCGATTAATCGATACTTTTATCGATTTAGGGATGCCAATCTGTAGTCGTTTATTTAAAATTTAGTTACTTCTTTATTATTATTTATATCATGAAAATTAAAAGCCTAATCAGAATATGATTATTTTTCCTTCCGGCCAGCTAAGCCCCATTTCACAGCCCAGAAGAAAAATAATAGAAAAATGTATTGAAAAAAGTAAAGTAGTTTATAATAGTATATAGAATATTAAGTAAGTAGGATAAAGAGATGGTGATGGGAAAAATGTATATGCTCTCTTGCCAGCTCGGCCACTACTCATAGCTGGAAATGGTCAGTGAGTTCCCGAAGGTAAATCCAACGATTTAATAAGGGGCAAGAGAAACTTCAGTGGAGAATACGTCTATTGTAATCTTTGCATAATATACGAAAATAAATTTGTGCATAGCGTACTCTGTGGTGCATGTTGGTAAGAATAAAGGACGATAGTTCCTGGCAGGTAGGTCGGAGGGGAGTAGAATAATCTATGTCGCCAACAATCAAATGAAGATCGAAAGCTGTGAGCAATATTTTCTTTTCCGATTACAACGCCCTTTATAATAGGCCTAGGCTTTATATAACATATATCTTCATGTACTCTTTATACTTATACTATAAATATATATATATATACTGCTCATATATTAAAAACTAGGAATAATGTTGATTTAGAGGCCACATTGTGTGAATGTGTGTGTGTGTGTGTATGTGTGTGCGTGTGTGTATGTATGTATGTCCGTGTATATGTTTGTATGTATGCATGAACATTGGCTTCTATACCAATAGCAGACCAATTTGTCTTGTTGCGCGGCAAATTTAAATAAGAAAACGTATTTATTGAAGCTGCCCTCCTCCTCGATTCTCAAAAATGTAAGTAAGGCTTGCAGGCTTCACCTATGAATTAGGCGCAGGGGGCTTTAACGCTGGAAGCTGAGGACCCGGAGGAGCATGGCGGAGGAGGAGCACCAAGGGGGCGGAGCAGGAGGTATGTATGTATGTATGTATGTATGTATGTATGTATGTATGTATGTATGAATGTATGAATGTATGAATGTATGAATGTATGTATGTATGTATGTATGTATGTATGTATGTATGTATGTATGTATGTATGTATGTATGTATGTATGTATGTATGTATGTATGTATGTATGTATGTATGTATGTATGTATGTATGTATGTATGTATGTATGTATGTATGTATGTATGTATGTATGTATGTATGTATGTATGTATGTATGTATGTATGTATGTATGTATGTATGTATGTATGTATGTTTGTATGTATGTATGTATGTATGTATGTATGTATGTATGTATGTATGTATGTATGTATGTATGTATGTATGTATGTATGTATGTATATATGTATCTATGTATGTATGTATGTATGTATTAATGTGTGTATATAAGTATGTGTGTGTGTATGTAAATATGTGTGTGTGTATGTATGTATTAATGTGTGTATATGTACATGTATGTGTGTGTGTATATATGTATGTATGAATGTATATATGTACATATGTATTAAAGTGTATATATATATGAATTTTGACCAAGAAAATTACAGCTTTCTAGCTCGTACGGTATGGGCTGTGTGTTGATCACCAATCAATCCGTCAGTCAGTCTGGATAATATATGTATATATGTATGTATATACTCATCATATACCCTTTCCACTCTGTGATCGAATTTAAAAAGTGGTAATAAATTTCTTAAAAATATGTGTACCACAAGACAAAAAATAATTAAATGTCTTAACAAATTGGAAGACAGGCATAAAAAATAGGGATTAATTTGAGCAACTTCTGGAAGTATAGAGTTAAGAGAGAGATAGAGATAGAGGAAGAGAGAGAGAGAAAGAGAGAGATGGAGAGAGAGAGAGTGTACTTTCTAAGAACGGTATTCGAAAAAATCACGATGAAGAAACTATCTTCATTCAGTTATATTGACATAAGAACCAACTACTTGTGTATATTATTTTCCGGTAGAAAATGCCAAATTGCATGTCTCTGACTTTTGACACCGGGTTGATGTGAGCAAGAGGGGGACGGCAGAGCTTGTAATGGCAACGGGAACGAAATGTGGCAGCTATAGTTGGACTTTTAGTGAATGCGCAAAGGCGCAAACAAATGCGAACGCGAATGCGAATGCGAATGCGAATTTGAGTATGCATTTTAATTTCCAGCAAAGTGCCCGGCGGCTGCGTGTGGTGCGCGTTGTGGCTGGGAGTGTGTGGTGGCAGATCGGCGAGCGGCAGGCGCAGCAGAAGGCGGAGGCAGTGCATCCATCAAGTTCACACGCAGCACGCAATGGACCTGAGCCCCAATATGAGCCCCAAGCTGGATCACGGTTCAACCATGGGCAAAGTTTGACTTAACTATCGAGCAAGCGATTCGATAAGTGTGCAAGAAACTATCGATATCAATTACCGTTAAGTGCAGTCGAAGCGACTTATCGATAAATGCAACGATGTTTGCTGCAAGAGAAAGTTTCAAGTCAAGGAGCTGAAGATTTCTTGAAAAAAGCTAAGCTGACGCGTGTTATCGATATATCGATAGCGATAGATATCGTAAGCAGTTCTTGAAGATATTTTTGCTGAACAAAAATATGGTTTGCATATCATTATCGATGTTGCTTTGAGTTATATTATCGAGCTATCGAGTGTTATCGAGTGTTATCGATATTTGAAATGCAAATTTAGTTCGTTTCAACCGATATTTGTGTACGAAAACAACAACTGATAAGCTGTTTATCGATACCCGAGTGTGAGCACCAGCTCTGGCACAAGAACAAGAAGTGGCTGTCATTAATAATTAATGAGATTGAGGTTAAGGTGCTCGGGTACTCAGGTGTTAAGGGCCAACAGGCAACATTGCACCACGTGCGTGGCGTGCAACAATGAATTGGATTTTCGCTGCGGCTCAAACGAATTTCGGCCATTGTGCGAGCCAACAACTGTATCTGAAAGATACTTTCTGCTGAACGCATCATCAGGCGGGCACCGTCAACCACCGTCTTGAGTGGCTCGACCTGCATAGCCGAGAGGCAATTTACGAAATGCAACGCGCCCGGAATCGGGACAAGAACTGCGACTGGAACTGGATACTGCCGGGGTCGGGGCCACAAATGTAATACACACATCAGGCAAATAAATTAGAAGGCAACTCCTTGTGGCAGAAGCGTCAGGAGCGTCGCGCCCCCTCCATCTGGTTCGGTTCGTTCAAAATGGAGCCAGAGCAGTGTCGAGCAGGAGAGTAATGCCGACAATCCGTCATGCAGGTGTGAATGATTCATTAATTTCTCGCCTTCATACGAATTTTCAGTTAACATGCAAGCGGAACCAAAACGAGCCGCCGCAAAAGAGTTACGCAGTCGGCAACTGCAACAGCAGCGACGCATGCCTGCCAGTCCCAGCCTCAGTCCCAGCCTTAGTCCCAGTCGCAGTCCCAGTCGAAGTCCCAGTCGAGGTCCCAGTCGCAGTCGCAGTCCTTAGCATGAGAGTTCCCCAGTCCCAGTCTCAGTTCCAGCTTCAGCTTCAGCTTAACGTCTTCATTACGCACGGCCAACATTTCCGCTCTCCACTCCGTTTGCTGCCAGTTGCCAGTTGCCAATTTCGTTTTGCATTTTCAATTTTGTGGCATTTCCTTCGTCCAGGCTGCAACAGCGGGTGGGCATTACCCTGCCCATCCCCCTATTCCCCCTTCCCCCTTCCTTGCAACGGCGCGGCGTGCGTTAATTACCTGATGAGCCCAAGGATCAAAGGCCAATTGACACCTTGCGATTTCGTTGGTTGTTTATTTTAAATGCAATTGAATCAATTTAATGCTTATTCAAATCTAATTTTATAATTCAACATTCATGAATACACTCATATATACACTCATGAATGCACTCGTGAATACACCCAAATAAAACAGTGGCTTAAAGTATTTAGTCAAATGCTTCAACTTAAAATAAATAAAAAACTAATGTGAGTGCAACCCATGAATGCACCTATGAATATAAATGTGAATATAATCAGCAGTACATTTATTTAAAAAGACGATTGTGCATATACTCGTGCATGTTTCGAATGTATCCACGAGAGTATTCATGAATATATTCTAAAATCTCTCCATGAATGTATTCATGAATGTATTCTTGTATATTTCATGAAATCCAAAAAAGGCTTATGAATCGTCTCATACTCATAAGTTGATATGCTCATTAATTAATTTCAGCGTTTGCCAAGCATTCATGAATATGCTCATGAATGCATGCATTCATAAACATATGAATGTCCAATCACTCAATTGAATTTGCACCTATGAATACACTCATGAATGCACGCCCATTAACACTCATTCGGCACCATGTAATTATGTTTACATACACTCATTCATTCATTCATTCCGTTTAATTCGTTTAACGGCATGCACTCATCTTATTCAATTGCCGCTTCTTTGGCACTCATTTCGACGCATTTCGACGCATTTCGATTGCCCATTCGCCAGTTATTCACACTCATATTCACACATTTCGCCTGCCAATTTGCTGTTCACACGGATTCCGAAACTGAATCCCAAACCCAAATCCGATTCGACTCCAGCCTCAGCTCGTAAAATGCGCTGAATGATTTTTGGCTGCTGCTCGAGTGCTTTAGCCTCTTCTTCTTCTTCTTCTTCTTGTTGTTGCAGCTTCAAACAACAACAATTCATATTTTTTATTACACCTACTTGGAGGCTTGAACCCGGCCCGAACAGCGGCTCGCAGCCAGTTCGGAGCAAAAATGAAGGCGTTAACCAACTTTAATACATTTATTTGGGCCACAAAAAAGCAAAATAAACAACGAAAAATGCGGCAAAAGAGACGAGAGCACGACTTGGGCATACCCTGTAGGCAAGGCTGAATCTAATTGTTATTTGTCTAGTTAGAAAATATTGTTGTAGCAAATATTCTTTTGTTAGCTTTAAATTTAACAAAAAATATTTATATCTAATTAAACATTATTATTATTTGTGTATATTATTTATTTATTTATTCATATGCATAAATAGAAATAGATACATGTAATTCTTTTTGCACAGTTCACGCTCTGCCAAGTGCCTGCTGTGAATATATGATGTTTTAGTCTACTTGCCGCCAGATGGCGTCGGTGGTGTAATGGTCAGCATAGTTGCCTTCCAAGCAGTTGATCCGGGTTCGATTCCCGGCCGACGCACGTTCTTTTTAATCAAATTTTTTTTATTTTTTTTTTTAACAAAATACATTTAATCAATCTTTCGTGGATGCAAAATGGTATATAATACTCTAATTAATAAAGTAAATTAATAAATTAATTAATAAATTAAATTGCTGCTGCTGCAATTTCAACTTGAGCTGAATGCAAACAACAGCAAATAAAAATTAAAATGCAACTTCTAATAAATATTAGCAAATTATATATATTAAATTTTAATAAATATGCAAATGACTTTATTAAAATTCAATTAAAATAAATATTGCCAAATTGCATTTATCAAATTAAATACTTTTCTAAATAAATATGCGAATATTTCATTCATGCCAGAAATTAAAGATAAATCTGAAAATAATTTAACTTGAAATCAAATAAAAATTAAACTTCAATTTAAATAAATATTAACAAATTAAATGCTTTTCAATATACATTTAAAAATGTTTAATATATTTAACATTGAAACTTATATAAACTTAAAACGAACTGAAAATTAAAATTAAATTGAAATAAATATTAGCATGTTCGATTAATCAAATTGAATACTATTTAAAATAAATACGAAAGTATTTAATACATTTTACATTTAAAGGCCTTGACAGGGACTAAATCCAGAAATTATTATAGGATTTTATATATTATTATAATAAATAGATAGATAGATCGATATCTATCGATGCCATCAACTGAAATTTAAGCTCAAGTTAGTCGAATACTTTTTTTATATTAAATCAACTGCTAAGTAGATTTGCAATTAAAGCAATTTGTTTAGTTGAATAGCATTTAGTATAGACATGCTTTTTAGAGGGTATTCAGATTCAGTCAGCTAGTCGAGCGGCTGGCGCAGGACCCGGCGCAGGCGCAGGCGCAGTCGAGGTTGCCATATCTGTCCAAAGTAATAATTATGTTTCACGTTGTTATCCTAATTTACGTGCCGGGGCTGCCCAGGCCCAGGCCCAGGCCCAGGCATAGTCCGCAGTCTGAGGTCCACGGTCCCGAGTCACCCGTCTCCAGTTGTGGCTGTCTCTCTGTCTCTCTGTGGCCTGACGACAACGGAGCATGGACTGTGGCTCAGCCTCTGCCCCGGCTGGGTTTCTGCCTGCCTGGATGGCCCCGGGCGCTGTGCAGCTCCACGTCGCACAGCGGCGCATTTCACTGGAAAAAGTATTAAGCACAAAGCGAGATACTGAAAATTGATTTCTCACCTTCGTGCACGTTATGAGCAGCCGGCTCTCCAGTTGTCCAGTTGCCCACCTCTCCCCCTACCTTCTCTCTCTGGTCGTAGCCTGGCTTTATTATTAATTAATATATATCGCTGGCGCGACTCGTGAGCAGTCGTGATCCGCACGCCCGCATTTCGCCCGCGACGCTTACTATTTCAATAAAACTGATGCCTAGACAGCCTGTCTCCATGTCTCTATATATCCCCCCCCCCCCTCCTCCTTTACCATACCAGCCCGCACACGCCCCGCATCCCCCTACGTGAAAGGCTGCATAACTTTGCCAGCTAATCGTAAATAAAAATTTTATCTGTGAATTTATTGCATCATCGGGAAACTATTCAATTCTTCGCACAGACAAAGAGATATTGGGAGAGAGTGGGGAGAGGGGGGTGGGGGGGAGACACTCCGGACAGGTGGACAGCCGGACGTGCTGGGAAATAGACGTTTAGACATAGAGCCTCGCTCAAGCACCTGTTGCTCAATGGGAAATTTATTTGTCATTTCTCTTACGGCCATTTGTCGTGGCTTTTAATTTGCTTTCAAAAATGCAGCTTAGCTTTTCACTTCGAATGCTTTTCTTTGGCCTCATGCTCTAACCTCGGCCCGGTCGCAACACTTTCTTGGTTGATTGATATACATATATATCGTTAAACAATCTCAACTGCGAAGGATCGCATCAAGGTTTCCCAATTGGGGAAGCAGCTCGGATTACTCATCTGTCATGGATTTGCTCGAAAAGTCTTTAGGCATCCGGAACTATAGATAGTATCTGTCCTATTTAGCTCATTAAATATTTATCGACAAATAGATTAATCTAAGTATGCATCTATCTATTTATTTTGTATATTTGTATATGCACATGGCAATAATAACGAATAATAATATAAATAATAATTATTCTAGTAAAAATAATAATAACAAATTCTAAAAATAATGATAATGCTAATAACAGCAGTTCGATTTTCATCAGATAATATTATGTGCCCCAATAGATATACTATAAGATGGATTCCTAAGTTAATGATCTATAAATTAGATATATTTAGAATTAGCTTTAAGCTATATACATATAAGCTATAAGACTCTTGGTTTATTCCTGCCTTGAGCTGTGATTCTTGATCCTGGCTTTCCACATGTTTCCAATCTTTTATTTGAACTAAACTAATTTTGATTTGAAGACAATATTTTCAGATAATCTCCCTAATCAAACAAGGGCAACAATTGGAGCCGAATTTAAATGTGCTTTGGGGCTAAGTTTGAACCGTCAAAATGGTTCGAATTAGCGTAATTAACATGGCTTTAAGTCAAATTCAAGTTAACCGTTTCGTCTCATAACCGGTTCGCAAACTTTGCTGCATAGTGTATAGCATATACACTATATACTTGTGTGTACATAAATTTGATTTTTATTTTTTCTTAGCTTGTTTTTGTCGCTTTTGTTGACTACCATCACCTCACCCCCCCCCCTCCCCCCCTACTCCAACTGTCGGTCTGTTAACCAAAACGAGACATCTTTTTAAATGTGGATGGCATATAAAAATTTGTATTGATATGATTTTTATGGACTTCAAATCGATTTTTTTACGATCATTGCTCGGTTTTTATGCGCTCGCCGCTGCTTTATGTGACAGCCAGACGGCAGGGGGGCTGTGCGGCCCGCGGGGAACGGAAAGGGGGGGGGAGTGGGGTGAGCGCCAATTATGTAATTAGGTGTTAAGGCAAACAATATGCGTGGAGATTCGAATGTTTATATCGAGGCTGACGCGCATTGAAGATGTGTGTGTGTGTGTGTGCGTGTGTGCGAACCGTTAGGCGGGAACGGTTGGCCTTATCGCAGCGCTGGCATCGAGCGACAAGGGCGAAGGGGAAAGGGGAAAGGGGGGCGCGTCTCGAGAGCTTGGCCAAGAGCGCCATATGTTGGCGCGAGAAGCAAGAAAAGCGAACAAAATAAATAAGTACGCAAAGCCAATATCCGGCCCAAAGTCTGGGCCACAAAACTGATCAGGAGCTGGCGACGTCGCTGCCGCTGCCGCAGTCGCTGCCAGCCACCTGTTGCGTGCTTTTCTATGCGCGAGCAGCATTTTTATTTGGTTTTTTTTTGGAGTTTAATGTCTTTATTTTTTATACCACTTTTTTTTTTGGTTGCAATAACTTTTGCGGCAGGGTCAATGCTGCTGATTAATAAAGCGAGGCGGCTGCGACGGCGGCAACAGCTGCTGCGGCAACAGCCTGGCCAATTTCTGGTTCTGTTTGTGCAACATGCGGCAACGTATTGAAAGGCAGCGCAAAGTGTGTTTTTTTTTTGTTTTTTCATTAACATTTAGTTTATTAGCCATATAATCTAGAGCTTAGTCGCTATTTTAATTTATATACAAGCATCCTGCCCCACACCCTAACCCACACCCACCCCCGCTCTGGCCCGCCCGTGCGCTTGGCTCACGCCTTGTTCAGTGCATTGGCAAATGGCGCCGCATTGGCCGCCGTGTGCAGCTGATGGAACTGGCAGGCGGTGCGACAGCCCCGGCTGCAGAAGATCCGATCCGCACACATGGATCTGGCCAGGCTCCATTCGGCGACGACCAGAACGCGGCAATAGTCGTGGCACATATAGCAATCCGGCCGGGCGCGGCACAGTGTCGGCGCCACCGGCGGCAGCAGCGTTTGTCGATAGCAGCGCTGGCGGCACTGCCAGATGCGCACCTGTTGGGGCAGCGTCAGTCGCTCCTGGAGAACGTTCTCACCGGCGGCGGCGCCCAGCGCGAGCAGCAAAATGATGATGCAAGTGATGCAAATGGTGCGCGGCGCGGCGTTTGCTGAGCTTCGGGACGTGAACATGCTGGACTTGACTGGCTGACGTTGGCTTGGCTTCTAAATGTCTTTGGGCAGCGTTCGGCTGGTTTTATGTGTCAACGTTGAGCCGTTGCCGTTCATTCAACAATTGGCCGGAAAATCCCAGAGACTACCTGGTGACGGTTGCTACCTGGGCGCCCGGACAGGCGTTTAGGTAATTGACAACACATGTGCGCAATGCGGCCGTTGAGCCAAATTTTTATGAATGGCGCACAGCTCTGGAAAACCCTTGGAATTTCAGCTCATTGAAGCGGCGGCGGCCCGTCTTTATGGCCCGCTTACCTGTTTACCTGTTGGCCCGGCTGTTGGCTTAGTTAGGTCACAGATTTGTCTGCTGCATTTCGTGACAGTTTTTATTGTTGCGTAATGCTCTGCACGCCGCACACAATCGGCTAATCCCATTTTGGGCCAGTCATAAAACCGGTGCACGTGCCGTCATCTGTTGGCCGTTAAGCGGCTGCTTAGATATAGAAATGAACTGTAGATGCCGCTAGACAAGCACGGTGAGTATATGTGCAGTATCAGCTGGATTACAGTAGATGGCGCCAGTAGCGCACAGTTGTTGCTAACATTTTCCATTGCATTCTTTTGAGCGAACACAAAAAATTTGCATGCTCCGCAGGTGGACTGTAGCTGGCGCCACTCAAAAGTCGCTAGGCTGAAATACAGCCAAGGAATTCCAGATGTTAAGCGTGGGAATTGCTGCTAATAACACTATTGGTAAGAAAATATCCACACACAGCATGCCAGGTTTTTAAGCAACGAATCCTAGGTTAAATAACAACTCAGAACATCTGTTGTCACAACTAAATTGCCTATCACTCGACGTGCTGTGTTATGGAAATCCTTGTAATTCTTGTCTAATTTAGTTTAAATTTAGGAATAGTTGATCCTTAGCAGACCAACAAGCTGTATCGCTCCATAATCTGATACAGTTTACCCAAAGTTTTCCGAAAATGAACCAAAACTGGTTGATTTCAGAACCGTTTTCGTATTTTCCCCGACTTGTCCCAAAAAACAAATGAATACGCACAACGAAATTTGTCTAACTTTGGTTATAATTTTATTCATTAACTTAACTTGTTCTGCACTCTTCTTCGTCCTGTTCTCTGCTTCTTTTATTTGTTTTTATTTTAACTTTTACAATCTTCTGCCGTTGCCGCTGCTGCAGCAACAGTTGCGTTTTTGTTTTACATCATTTTGTTTAAACATAGCTTGAGAAATTATGTATAATATGTATGTATTATTTATGTGTATATATATATGCATATACATATATATATATATATATATATATGTATGTATTATATTAAACATGTAGTATAATTTATATAGCATAGCAATAAAAAAAATTGGCGCAAAAAAAAAGGTTTTTAAACAAAAATGTATCTTAATCTGACGAAAAAAAAAAATACACGACGACAACGGCGGCAGCTTCAACTTGTGTGTGTGTGTGTGTGTGTGTATGTCCTGGGTGCAGGCTGTAGCTAATCTACATGCAACCTCAACCCTGACCGCATGCCGCTTCTATCGCGCCTGCTTCCGCCGGCTCCGCTCCAACCGCTCACTGTGGCTTCTGGTTCTTTGGTGCTTGCTGCTGCTGCTGCTGATGCTGCTGCTGTTGCTGCTGCTGCGTCTCGTAGCGCTGACGCAGCGCTGTCAGCGCGCTCAGCAGCCGACTGTTGGCGGCGTCTAGCGCCGCGATCTGCTGGCCCTGCTCCTCGATGACGCGCTGCTTGTGGGAGAGCGCCAGCGACATTTTTAGCTGCTCGCGGCGCAGCTCCTCCTCCATGGTGATGAGCCTGCAAAGGTTTTGCCTGATATTAGTTGGGGCTGGTGCGAGCGAGGGGATAACACACGGGCGTTGGGGCCCCACTCACCTGTCAATAATGCTGCGCATGGTCGACTCCGACTGCTGGCTCAGATTGTTGACGCCATTGCCGCCGCTGCCGCCGCCGGCGCAGCCTGGTCGCTGCAGCGCGAACAGCTCATCGCTGGAATCGCGCAGCTCGGCCTCGTCACGGTCCAGAGTGTGGCGCAGCGTGTCGAGCGTCTCCTGCAGCAGCTGGATTTCGCCATTCTGATCGTAGCCCTTGCACAGGCCCGACGATTCCGAGCCGCCGCCAGCGCCGCCGCTGTTATTGCTGCTGCGCAGCTGGCGACGTCGTTTGCCCTCCTGCAGCTGTGCGCAGTGACCTGGTCATGAGGAAGGGAGCACAGTTCGGTAATTGCATTAAAATAGGTTCAGATATGAATTGAACCGACTGTTTTTTCATGTTCATTGCAAATTTAACAGTTACTTTACAATGTTGTTGCACTCGATTTCGTTTCATATGTTTACCAAAAGTTGCAATGCACTTTATCTGCCTGGCAAAACATTGGAATGTACTCAATCTACCTTGTTAAATTTGCCATGCACTTTATCTGCCTGACAACAAATTGGAATGCATTCTATCTACTTTGTACATTTTGACATGCACTTCTTTCTGCCTGGCAAAACATTAGAGTGCACCCTAACTACCTTTTAAAATTTGTCATGCACTTTACGAGCCTGACAAAAACTATTGCATTAACTTAGTTTGCCTGGTAAAAACCACATGAGATCTAGTATTATCCCGGCAAAAATTGAGCCTTATCACCTTGCAAGAGATTGTCATGCACTTAATCTGCTTGGCAAAAATCGCGCTAAACTAATCTGTCTGGCTACAAAATAAATGGAACAGCAGCTTATCTTCCTTTAAAAAATGGACTACACTTAGTCTCCCTTTAAAAAGACAAATAGGCACTGCCTGGCAAAAAATAGAATGAATTTCATTTTTCTTGTACAAATTGCAATGTACTTAATTTGATTGGTAAAAATAGCACATTTAACTAGCCTAGCAAATATTTAGAATGCACTTTGTTTTGGCTGTAATTCATCTGCATGACAAAAGTTGCCATGCACTTTATCTACCTGACATATAAATTAAACTACAGTGTTGCCACCTTTGAAGGTATTTATGAACATCTGACTCTAAACTCTTGTCATACTTTCCACATATTTTGTTGACGAGCTTATGCGCTTGGTATTATTTTATGCATGTGGACAAATTTTGCCATGAACATGGAAAAAAGTGTATTTAACCCGGTTTTTTTTTTTTTTTTTTTTTGTTGGCTGTACTCACCCTCCGTGTCGGTGCTGCTGTCGGAGAGCGTTCGCGCCGAGTCCAGGCTGAGGCGTCGCTGGGCCACCGCCGTCGAGGAGGTGGCTGCGCTGCTGGCGCCGCCGCTGCTGGCGTATTGCTTGTGTTCCTGCTGCTGCTGCGGGTGCTGCTGTTGTTGTTGTTGTTGTTGTTGTTGTTGGTGCTGCTGCTGGTGGGGATGGGGATGATGATGGTGTTGATGCTGTTGCTGCTGCTGCTGCTGCTGCTGTGGCTGCTGCTGATGATGATGCGGCGTGGACATGGCATAGGCGACACCTATGCCGCTGGCGCTGCCGTAGACATCCTCGCGCTTGAGCGGGCCGCCGCCATTGAGCCGGCCGTAGGCGTGCGGCTTGCCTGAATTGGAGTTGGAATTGGAGGAGCTGCTGCCGCCGCTGAGGGAGCGCTGCGCCTCCAGTTTGCTGGCCACATTGGCGCCGGCAGCTGCTGCCGCGGCATAGCTATAATAGTTGTCCGCCGACAGCTGTTCGTCCGAGGAGCTCGGAGTCAGGGTGGCCGCATCCAAGGTGCCGCCGCTGTTGAGAAAGGCGGCCCGTGCCGCCACAAGACCAGCGCCCAGCGGCTTCACACGCCCGCCAAATGCGCTCGGCTGTGGCGTAGCCGGGCCACGCCCGGACGCATTGGGCATGCTGCAGTTGCTCTGCAGCTGATACGAGGGATTCTTGAAGGCCAGCGGTGCGCTCATCTTGAGCGGCAGCTGCTGCTGTTGCTGCTGCGGCTGGAGCTGAAGCTGGAGCTGGTTCTCCACGGGACTGGAGGACTGTGCGGGCGAGGGATTGGTGGAGATGCTCTGGTAGCCGGAGCTGCAGTGGCTGCTCTTGGCCGACAGCTGTTGCTTGTTCTGACCATGGCCATGGCCATGGGCGTGGCCATGGGCATTGGCGTGGGCATGGGCATGGCTGCCAGTTGGCTGCGGCTCGACAATGACCTCCTGCTCCTCGGCGTACTTGAACAGATCGTCGAGATCCTCCAGATTCTTGGGCATGTTCGAGTTGGGATTGAGCGGCGCACGTGCATAATTGCCGTGGCCTGAGTGATCGGGTATGCCCAGATTTAGATTCAGATTATGACGATTGATGCGCTGGCTACGTGACCCAGCTCCTGATCCGGCTCCAGCTCCCGATGATGCGGCGGCGCCCGCCTTAAGCAGCGGCGTTGGGGATTTACGCACAAAGGCGCTGCTGGTGTCCAGGCCAGAGATTTGGATGAATTCGCCGGGCATGTCGTCGTAGCTGCCGCTCTGATTGCTGTTGTTGTTGTTGTTGCTGTTTGTATTGCAGTTATTGCGCGGCAAGGTGCGCGCCCGGGAGCTGCCCGTGGAGCTGTCATAGTCGGCATTGCCATTGTGATTGACCACATACTGATAGGTATGGCCCAGCCGATCCATGCGCTCCATGGTGCTGGCTGCGCTCGTCTGCGGCGCCGGCGGGCAATGTCCCAACTGCTGCTGCTGCTGTTGCTGGGCGGGATGCGGCTGCATCAACAAATTGCTGTTGCTGCCGTTCAGCGAGGAGGATGCCATCGAGCTCTGCGACTGGGCGTGCTGCAGCACAGGTGAGCTCATGTAGCCGCCGGCATTTGCGATCGAGCTCTGCGAGTTCGACAGCAGCTGCTGCGAATGCTGATCCAATTGTTGTTGCTGCTGCTGCTGTTGCTGCTGCTGGAGGCGCACGTTCACCGTGGGATCATTGTAGCGGAATATGTTCTTCTCCAGCGCGCTGGGCGTGAGCACGCCACGCATAATGCCACGCTCCGCGGGCAGCGGCTTGCTGACCACCGCATGCTGCGGCTGCGCCTGTTGCTGCAACTGTTGCTGTTGTTGTTGTTGTTGCAAGTGTTGCTGCTGCTGCTGCTGCTGCGAGTGGGTGGAGCTGGTGGGCGCCATGCTGCAGCCGCCTTCGGGCTGGCGATTCTCCTGGTTCTCGCTGGCAATGGAGTGCGTGGACATGACCGTCGGCAAGTAGCCGGAGGCGAGCGCAGGTCCGCCAGACAGCTCCTTGGCCCGGCTGATATCGTCGAGTATATGCTGGAGCGGATCCAGCTCGTGCTGACGCGCCTCCGGCAGCTTGGCCAGACTCTCGCTGAGCAGGCTGTGCAATATGGACAGCTGTTTGCCCTGGTCAATGTAGCCGGCCCAGTCGAGTATGGAATCGGGTGTCGCGTGCTCCGGACGCGACGATATATACTCGAGGAATTGCTGCATGCGCGACGCCTCCTGTTCGAGAAAATCGTTGAGGAACTCCATAAAGTTCTCCTTGCCCTGGAAGCGTGTAAAATTGGCCAGCGTCTGGAGGGTTTTGGCCACCAGCGTCAGGTTGCGTGTGGCACGCACCGACGGCAGCTCGCTGGTAATGTTGAACAGGGACGGCGACAGGATCGCCGGGCAGAGGAAGCGCAGGAATATGCTCGCCGAGATCAGATTATCGGCCATATCCTGGCGGCCCAGCTGCTGCAGGCGCTCCCGGAACGTGGCAAAGCAGGCGCGCAGCTGCGGCGGAAAGTGTTTATGCGACTCGTAAATGCATTGCCAGGCGCTGCGAACGGCGCCGCGCAATGCCGCCTGCTGGCGCTGCAGCGAGCCGGCCGAGGAGCCGCTCGTCTTGGTCGGATCGACCTCGCAGTCGCGCTCGGATTGTATGAGCTCATTAATGGGCGCCGAGAGCGTGTCCTGCAGATACTGCTCGCCGGTCAGCTTGAGAAACGCCTCCATGCTCTTGGTGGCCAGCGAGTTGCCGCGAAAGGTCAAGCGCTGATCGCCGACGCGCAGCAGATCGAGCGCAACGACATCGGTGAGAAAGGCACCAGCCAGGCCCTGGGCATGCATGAGCAGGACGAGCGCCTGGCCGATATCCTCCTTGGCCTTGACCCCGATCACCGGCTCGAGCGTTTCGCAGACGCGCTTGTAGTTCTCCTTGAGGTAGGCCAGAAAATTGCCATAGATGTTGATGGGCAGAATGTCGGTGCTCTGGAATCGGCACTTGATCCGCAACGTTGGCAGCAGCTCGCGCTCCTTATCCTTGCCCAGCCCGGTGCGGCCGAGACTGTCGCCGGCCTTGTCGCTCAGTATGGGATACCAGTCCTCGCAGATCAGACGCGAGGTCACCTCGTGCACGGGTATTTTCACGGAGCCGACAAACTGATATTTGTCGCGCTTCTTCTTCTTGTCGACCTCACGAAAAACATTGACGGTGATCACATTGATCTCGGGTATGTCGGGAAAATCAAAGTATTCGCCCCAGAACAACAGATCCGTTTGCAGCTTGACGCTCGTCCGGCCGTACAGCGTCTTGTCCAGCTGCAGCTCGCAGAAGTATTTCTTTTTGGCGGGCAAGTTCTTTGCCTCATACACCCAGAGCTTCAGCGAGTTGTCCGTGCGGCGAGTGTGCTCCGCATTCGGTGCTATCGATTTGCGCAGCGAGTAGATCCAGAGGTCTCGCTCCTGGCGTGAGCCGCACGAATAGTATCGCTCGCCACGCGGCCCGCCGCGCACCTGGAAGCAGTGCCGGCGGCCCAGCACCGATTGGTGTACGGGAGCAACGCCCACAGCGCCGGTGCATGACAAATCTGCGGCGAGTAGAGAAAAGTAGCGAGTAAGTTAAGCGTATGACGAGTATCAAGTAAGTTCAACAAGCAACGAGTTCAGCTGACTAGCAGGAGCACAACTTGGCGATAAACTTTAAGAATTAACGAGTGAGCTTAACGAATGACGAGTAGCGAGTTAGTCTTGCCAATAACGAGTAGTAATTGGCAAGCTAAAGGACTCACGAGTAAAAGTGAATTTAATGTAATTAAATAGATCCAGGCCATAGCAGTAAATGAGCGAGTTATTTTAATTAAGCATGAGTGAGCTAGTGAAGAATGAATAACGTGTAAAACAACGAGTAAGTCGAATCAATGAAAGCTCGTCTCAGGAGAAACGAGTAATTTGAATGAGTATCGAGTGTTTTCGAACAGTTACAAAATGTTTAACAAGTAACGAGTAAGTTTGGCTACTAACGAGCAAGTCACTCACTTATCGCCTAAATTTAATGTTAAAAAAAAAACGAGTAAGTCGAACGAATCAGAGCTCATTTCACGAAAAACGAGTAGTTTTAATGAGCATCAAATAAGTTCGAAGAGTAACGAAAATGAACAACGAGTAAGTTTGATTAGTAACGAGTAACTAACTTACAAACAACTAGTTAGTAAGTTAGTATAATGTGTAAAAAATAAAACTAAGTTAACAGCGAGTAAGCAAATTAAATAGAAATCGTTTCATGAGAAGCCAGTAAACGATTGAACGAGTACTCCTAATGAGCCATAAGTTAGTTCGTAGAGTAACGAAAAAGTCTAGCGAGTAAGAAAGTTAACGAAAACCGAATCAAACTAATAAGAGTAAGCACTGAATGAGTTTGTAACTTTTTAGGAATAACTAATAGGAAGCGAGGTAGACAGATCTTTACCATAATATGCCCAAAAGATATGACACTTACCAATCGTGGACATGACTGCATGACTGGAGAGTAGACTCTCGTGGGAGCGCGAGCCGCGCAGTCCACCCGATCCGCGCTTGGTGCGCTCCAATTTGGTCACCGACTTTGTACGCTTGAGGGGATTTGATCTACGATAGAAAATTAAAGCTGTTTGAATCTGTCTGAGAGCTCAGTTTTGTGCACTCACCTCTTGGAGAAGAAATTGGTAAAGCGGGAGGCGGCATTGTGCTCCGGCTGATGCTGTTTGCTGCCCAGAATGGGCGTTGTGGGCGCCGAACCGCGGCGACAGGCCTTCTCATATGAAGTATCTATACGAAAGCAGGAGGAAATTCTGGTTAGTAAAAAGATAAACATTTGATGTGAAGAATGAATTCATTCTACTCAGAAATAACAAAAGTCAACAAGAAGAGTAAAATTCTTTAGAGACTATTCCTAATTTCAATGTGGATACATTTGTGACTAATATCGATACCGATAAACTATCGGTTTATCCGCTCATTTATATGATATCGATAAGTGCTAAATAATGCAACATTACAAGAAGCAAGATCGTGACAAAATGGCATTTTACTGCTGACATTTATTAACTTATTTTAAGTTTCTAATCGTTCCCATGTATATATTAATGCACTTATCGATCGTGGGTTATCGATAGGTTTTTCATACTTCATTAATCTGACACCGAAAACATTGCATTTTATTGCACATACAAATATGATATCAGCTTTTATTTCAGTAACTAATTGTTCAAGTATTTATATGGTTGTCTTTTTTTTTTTTTGGTTTATTCCCGATTAAATCATCAGCATTAAGAATGAAAAATAAAAAAAAAACTTGTCTATAAACCTGTCTCCGAATCGTGCTGATTATTTTTAAATAAAATGACGTTTTTTTTTTTCATTTTGTGCAGTGTTTTTTTGTTTCTTTCTTCTTAATGAATTTTGGCATTTTTGTGTTAACAAACGTTTTAGATTTTAGGTTCAGGGATTACGTGTCTTTTGTATTTGGGATATTTGTATCCTAATCTGCGGCCACTTTGGCAGGAATTCGCTTGTGCTTTGTTTCAATTCGGTTGACGGCACAATTGAGAGGAGACAAGCCGAGAGACTACGGAGGAACCCGCATAACGCAACCGGTTTGGCTCTGGGATGCGACTCTCGCTCCGCAGAACAGAGGCCAAAAGGAGGACCAAGTGGCAGCAGCTGCTGCCTTCAGCATATCACCTGCCCCGGTGCTGTCAGCCTCTTGGGGTGGGCGTGGCAGCGGCAACTGCGAGTGCGACTGCTGCTTGGTCAGGTAATCATTGTCCATGATTCATGATTCATCAAACTGCCCCGAAAAAGGTAAACGAGGCTTCTTTCGTTTTGGCTGGGAAAACTGGTTTAGCTGCTTGCCGCACTTCTGCTTCTTCTACTGCTGCTGCTGCTTCTTCTTCTTCTTCATCTACGACTTGTGGCCGCCCTCACAAAAGAAACTCAAGAGATGTAAAGACATGGAAACGACCTTGTCAGCCCACCCAGCTAGCCAAGCTGTTTGGGCCCTTTTCTGTCTGTCTGCCTCTGCGTGTGTGTGTGTGTGTGACTCATCAGGCAAAAGCAAACATCGTTTTTGTGCTCTGACCCCGCCGCTGCCCCAACTTATCCACCTTTGATTTATTCATTTTTGATGAGCTGCGCCTTTTGGGGCAACTCTTCCGCAACGTTGATTCATTTCCAGCTGCCCAGAGATGCAAACACTGCGATTTGTCATCAAAAAGGAAAGAAGCCCAACAGAAAACCACAACGACAGCAGTCACGACTGACAGATACCCTGTATGGCTCATCTATCAACAGATCAAAAGAGAATAGTCCCAAATAACTCTTCGGTTTATAGTCCGATTATTATATAACTTTCAAGGCAAAAAGATAACCCTTCAGTGCGTACGTATCCCAAAAATCAGGGCTATAACTCTTCGATTCCCTGAGCTCGACACGTTTTCTTCCTGGCTCCATAACGCCTGCCGCTCGCTTATGTTCATTCAATGAAATGCCCTCTACCCAACCTTTAACAATTATAGGGTATAAATGCGTCTGAAAATTGTGTCATGTTTTTTGTTGTGTTTGTTTTCTGTTTATAAAAGAATTTCTATACGAGATCAAAAAACCCGTTGAGAACATCTTCCACTCTTGGCCGGCCTCAAATGGGCGCTGCCCACAAACAAATCACACAAAAGCCACACAATGAAGAGGAAGCAGGGCAAAGAAGACGACAAAGAAGAAGAGGAGGCAGAGGAGGCAGAAGAGGCAGAAGAGGCAGATATAGCTCCACTTACAAAAATGGCGCAGATTATGATTATGATTTTTATAACGCATCCAACGCCCACGCGCCACGCCCACAAGCACAAGACCATGCCCAATGCCCATGTAAAGAGACGACCGACACACACACACGCACACACACACACACACGCACACACACACACACACGGCACACCCCACAAAAGCGCACAAATGGTTATGTTTACAAGTGAGGTTGGGTTAATGAATACTTGAGAACGGCGCACAGCTTGATTATGATTGTAATAGATGCCAGCCACAGCCAGAGGCGGGCATTGCGGCATAATTGCAAAGGAAGTCGCTGTTGCAAGTAGTTAATGCCGCATAGTTATCATTATTATCAGTAATTTTCATCCAAGCGACTCGAGTATGATGTCATCTGACGACAGACTAAGCGAGAGAAAGACTCTAGAACTTATTTAGCTTAAGCTTGAGTTTCTAAAGATGCATTAAAACAAGTGACAAATGTTATGTTTGGACTGCCTTAGAGCTAACTAATACTAACGCCCAAGTCAGCCAAACTAAGCTTAATATGTGTCTAATATGAATAAATATAATGCATATTAACTTAAACATAAAAAAGGTTTGATATGCAAAAAATCAAGTGACAATTTAAGGGGACGCTTCTGCAGACGCATCTATGTCAAGCTTTTACATAACAGACGCTCTGTTGCTAACATAACTCTGTTATATGCATTTAACATGCACACTCTAACATTTCGTTGACTGTGCATCAATTTTCTCATAGCTCATTTAAAGTTATTTAAATCTTTTATGACTATGCTTAAATAGTTCACTAAGTTTCCGGGTGTCATAATCTAATTTATTTACGTGCTTTAAATTTTCTTCATAATTCAATTAAACATTTCACGACCTTAAAAGTCTCTCTCTGCACTCTCACGTTCATTTTATTTGTTTTCAGTTTATTTAATTTTCTGTTTTTCTAATCTATTTTTTTACTTTATCTGCAACTTCATTAATTTCCCAGCAACATTAGACAGTCTAGTCTATATGTATTTATATTTATAGATCATATCTCAGCACACACTTGACATTTCCAATATTTCAATTGGAATTTATGGCAGTTCGTCTGGGTAAATGAAAAATGAATTACTTATGTATGCATTTGAGCTGTTTCTAAAGTGTAATCAAATAATAAACTTCGACTGTCTTATCAGCAGGGACGGACATTCTATTTATCGTTTCTCATGACAATTCTGAAATGCTGCTCAAATAAAACTGGGTTCAATAAACACATTTTCAATAAATTTACAAAATGTATGCGAGGTCTTGTTGAGAGCGTTATCAAATAAATTATATATAGATTGAACCAAGTGTTAACGAAAGACGTGGCTTTTTTGAAATTCCCAGACTAAACCAAAGCTAAGCAAGACAAACGCTTTCGCACGTCGCCCGTATGAAAACATTTAACATTTTGTGTTAACAGTAACATTTACATGTAAACATAATTAATTTTAGACTTTAAATCAAACCCACACAAAACTAAAGTTGACCAAAACGCTTTTGTTCAACTTTTCGTATGCAAATATTTAACATTTCTTGTTAACATTAATATTTCGTGTTAACATTAACATTTCGTGTTAACATTTACATAACTATGTAAACATAGTTGATTTTAGACTTTTAATCGAACCCACACAAAACTAAAGTTGACCAAAACGCTTTCGTTAATCTTGTCGCCAGCACGTAAACTTTAACAGTTGTTTTTTCCCTCGACCCATAATATTTGCCAATTCTATTTTAGAGATCGCAATCAGTGCCACATATGGCAAGGGCCAGGGCCTATTACAGCAGCACAGAGAGCGGTGCCGTTGAGGGAGAGGACAAGACAATTTTGGTCAAAAAAAAAAAAAAAAAAGCTGAAGATGAGCCAAGTTGAGGAGGCAGCGACCTCCAGGGAGAGATTTGTGATCCGAATATGTGTATTTCGTATGCTGTCGGTGATTTCATCGACATTTGGAATGCGTTCCAAAACGGATTTCAATTCGTGTGAGGCCAGTGACCAGGGGTTAGGGGTTGGGGGTTAGGGGTCAGTGAAAGCGATCAAGAGGAGGAAAAAAAAAGTGAATAACGCATGGGAAATGGATTGGAAATCGAACACGTAAACGTACATATATTGGAGGGAGATTGGCTCCGGCTCGCCGATAAGGTCAACTCAATTAACGGCGCGTTAAACAAATGTATTTTCTATGCGATCTCACACGATCCGTCAGCTCGAGCTGATAAATGGTCGAAAGCGTACACAAGATACAGATAACAAATTATATGGGGCGGAGGGATGGAGCGGTAGAGGGGGGATCCTCTAAAGCTGGCCATGGCAGATGCGTTTGCGTTTTGATCCAGGCCGATAAGAAGACAGGAAAACAGTCGGGAACCAATCAATATGTATGTATGTATGTATGAGAAATGCACAAACACAAACACACACACAGACAGGCATATTCATGTCTCAATATGCACGTGTGTGTCTTTATGTGTGTGTGTGTTTGCATTACAAAACACATTTCCAACAAATGTTTGCTTATGTGTCTTTCTATCAGCATTTTCTGTGTGTGTTTGTGTGTGTGTGAGCGGCTTTATCGAGAATCGCTCAGCTGAGTCGCTGTTACAAAACCGTTTTCTCGTCTTATCAAATTTCAAATAAAATGCAACAACGCTCGACTGCTGTGTGTCCCTCTCCAACGCTCTCTTTCTCTCGCGCTGTGTCCCTTCTACTCGATCACTCCACAAAAATGCAACTGCGCCGTGTGTCCGTCTCTCTCTCTCTCTCTCTCTCTCTTGCTCTCTTTGCGTGCGTCCGTCTTCCAGTGTGTCTGGCACTCTGCATGTGTGCGAGCGCCGAAACAACAACAACTGCTAAACATGCACAAAAAAATGCCAACAACAATTTGAAGTTTTTAAATAAAGCGGCTCGTTTGTTTGCCGTTTGCCCGTTTCCAATGTGCGCTCGCTCTCCCTCTCTCGCTCTCTCTGTTTTCTGCGTTCTCAGTTCCAAGTGCTAGTTCACAGTCTAAACTGGTTTTTCGGTGCGGGTGTCAGTGTGCGTGTGTGTGAATCATAACAAAAACAGCAAAAAAATAATAAGAGAAGAAAACAGAAGAAACAACAAAAACAGCGGCGACAGCCGACGCGCAATGAAATTGAAATTGTAGCCAAATCCAACGAAAAAAAAGCAGCGAATGCTGGACGAGAGACGGGACAATGGAATAAATGAATGAACCAAATACATACATAAGTACGTGTTTATGTATATGTGTGAGTGTGCACAACATAAAATTGGATTAATCGAAGCATCTATCGATAGCAGAATTTGGGGCATAATTTATGCGTGCCTACTGTTTGGCAATTGAAGTTTTGTTTTGATTTGTATATTCATGTTTAAATTAGGCGTAAGCGTACTTTATTTAAAGCAAGAAGTTATGAATAGTACGTTTTGCAGTTGTGTCGTTTAGTTCCGACGAAGTAAAAATGAACTACTGAACTTGTGCATTTTGTTCACTCGTTCAGTCGGTCATGAACTAAACATTCTGTTGTAAGCGCGATTTTAAGTTCACCTTTGACTTGTTTAGGACAGGTGATAACAGATAAGACGTTGCCAATTATTGCCACAAAAGGTTGACTATCTCACAATTTTGATTAATATGTAATTAATGAAACCATCAAACAAATTTCAGTTGAATTAAGTATGTACATACTTGAAACTGAAAACATGAAAAATAATCGTTTATGATCGACTGAATATTTAATAAACGAATAGTTCATGACCGACTCCAAAGCTGAGCAGAATGCATCGTTCATGATCGACTGAATAACTGAACGAGTAAACTAAATGACCGATTTACCACAAAATGAACGAGTGAACTTAATCAGCAAATTGAACAAGAAGTTCCCACTTAGGTTTGTTTAATCACAGAAGGGGCCTATCGATAGCATTTATCGTGTTTCAGTTATGTTTAGTTATCGATATATGGCAAAAACAGGCTTTAACAAATCAAATGCAAAAAATCAAAAAAATTATTATTATATTCACACGAAAATATTCCTGTGCGAAGTGCTGAAGATTTTGGTCTGTCTGTTAATTTTTTACACGATTCTAAAAATACAAATACAAATCATAAATAACCGCCATTCAAACGTGATTGTATAACAATTTCAAAGTAATAAACATAATCAACATAATTGATATGGAATTTGTTCATGCTAAAATGATCAAGTTATTATGTACACACATATGAATACGTATGTATGTGTGTGGAGTGTGGGGGAAACACAATTGTACTTTATATATCTTTTTTTTTTTTCTGCTGTCAGGCAGTTGACGCCCATTGTGCGCCGCTTCGCTGCCTTCTCAGGGCCAACGCCATCAAAATGGGCAACAATTGAGCCAAACAATTGGGCTACTACTACACACACACACACACACACACACAGACACACATATGCAGCACACACACACAGACACACATTTTGAAAAAGAAAAGACGCACAATCGAACAACAACAACAAGCGAGAGAAAATGCTGGCCAAGTGTAAATAAAGAGTAGCAAAGGTAAATGCCAAAGAACAGGAAGGCTTAAGAAAAAAGTGTAGGGAAGAGCATGGGGATGGGAGGGGAGGGGAGGGGAGGGTAGGGGGCACACACAGTGGAATGTGTAAAGTACATCGATAGTCAAACAAACGCACACGCACACACATACGAAAACTGTGAATTGGAAGTCTGAAAGCATGGAATAACACAGTGAGAGGGGGGCGGGGGTAACGGTAACGTATCGAAATCGTGTTCTCTTATCTTATCATTGCTTTGTCTTTCTACTTCGCAGAAACGCAGCCGCGATCAGTGCGCACGATCGGAGGGGAGCGAAGGGAACGACGCGATGTGTAGCGGCAGGGTATTAAATGGAGACACGACAAAGTAGGCGATCCTGACCGTGAGACGCATATGTACATATTAACAAGCAATAAAAAAAAAAAAACAGAGGGGCAAAAAATGGGAAACAATTTCAACGGGTTGGGGTGCGGGGCAGGGTACGGGCGTAGGCAGGGGTATCGATTGATCAAGGGTTCGGAATATTAACAGTAACAGGAAGTCAGGAACCAACGAGCCGTGACGTACGTGTTTTTAACTGCAATACAAAGAGGGGGTTAAAGAATGAGAGAGCGAGCAAGAGAGAGACAGACAAAATGCTCAGACCACAATTTGAAAAAAAAACCCTCATGTTTCAGTTAGGATTCAGGATATCTTTAAAAAAAAAAACAAAAAAATTTGTTACATAAGAAACTAAGTTTTTTATCTTGATCGGGACATATGTTTAAAAGAAATAACTAACTGTTGGACCTATTCGTACCTAACATAAATTTGCAAAATAGCTTGATCAAGAATATGTTTTTTTCTTTGGATATCAAGCTTCTTACAACTTTTACATACTTTTTTTAAAGAACTGATATACTCATTTCGAATTGTGTGTTAGGGACCGTGAGGAACAGTATATGGGATTTACGAAATCGAATATACATATGTATATACGATTACGAACTACGCATATAGAACTGGAATATGTGAGCAGTTGGAATATGAGTATTGCATAATGTGCACTCTACTTCCAGCATGGAAAACTGCAGCTCTTACAAGTAAAACGTTCACTGGAAGTACACAAATCCCATGAGAAATTCAAATTAGGCAGCGACCACTGTACTTTGCTGTTCAAGAAAATACATATATGCATATGCCATAGCCAGGCTATGACAGCCTGTTTGGCCGAATACAGGGTATAAGCCATGTCACCTACCAGAATGATGTCCCGCATCATCGTCCGCTGCCGTTGCATTGCTTTGCTGCTCCGCCACCGATGTGGAGGCGCCTGCGTCGGCTGCCTCTGCTGCTGCGACGCCGACGGCAGTCGCAAGAGTCGTTGTTGTGGTCGTGTGCAAGGTGAGTTCCTTCAGCATGAAGCGCTCGCAGATGAGCTCCTCGCAGTGGTCGGTCTGGAAGTAGGCGCTCAGCTCGTCCAGGCCCAGCGGGCAGACATCGTAGCTGACGTAGAAGTGCTTGCCCCAGCTGCCGGTCGTGTCGCTGGCGCAGCTGCTCGACGCCGACAGCGCTGTGCCCGACGGCATGCCGCCGTGCGGCAGCATTACCAGCGACTGATGCGCCGCTGCTGCGCCTCCGCCTGCTCCAGCGGCACCCCCTCCGCCGATCGTTTTCAGCAGCGAATTGCTGCGCGACAATTTCGTGGAGTGCGCGCGGCGAATAAAGCTCAGCGATTTCTTTGGCGGCGATGTGATGGCCGCTGCTGGGGGCGGATGCGGGGGCGTGGCATCCGCAGTTAACTTGGGCGTTGATTTCAGGAGAAACAAATTCTTGGGCGGAAAACTGTGCGTTAGAATGGAGGCAGCCGAGGCGCTGCTCTGCAATTTGTAACTGGAACCGGAGCCGGAACCAGCAACGGAACCGGAGCCGCAGTTGTTGCTGCCGTCCAAATGGCTGGCGCTGCTGCCGCCAAACAGCTGACGTTGCGGCAGCTGCTGCTGCTGCTTGTTGTTGCTGTTGTTGTTATTGTTGCTGCTGTAATAGTGCGCCGTATCGTCCAGCGCGGCCGCCTCGCGCAGTGCAACTGACGGCGATAAGTTCTGCGGCAGCGTTTTCGCCTTAGCACGTAACGTGATCAGCGTTGTTGTTGTTTTTGTTGTTGTTGTTGCTGCTGCTGCTGCCGCTGCTGACGTCGTTGCCAGACCGCGCTCCACACTGGGCAGCGGCACAGCCAAAATGTTTGTGCGCGAACGCGACTTCATTAGCTTAATGGGCGTTGAGGTGTTTGTCTGCATGCGGCTTATCTCTGAGTCATCGTCGTCAACGGCGGCGGCGGCGGCGACGGAGGCGTCATCGTCGACGGCAGCTGACGATTGACGCGAGTGTGCGGGTGAGAGCGAGAGCGCCTGCTGTTTGGGCGGCGTTGCCATCACAATGTCGTTATCTTCATTGAAGTGTGTGCGTGGCGCACACCTGGCGCCATCTGGCGGCATATTAGGAAAAGGCTCAACGACAATGCCGCTGCTATCGTCAGCGCCGCTGCCGCTGCCATTGAGGCTGATCACATTGAGCACAATGCCATAGCGCTTGAGCTTCGACGCTGGCGTGGACGTCGATGTCGACGTTGACGTCGACGTAGCCGCTGTCGCAGCCTTAAGCAATTGCTGGCGCTGGCGTTGCTGCTGCAGCTGATCCTCATCATCAGAGTCCGAGTACTGCGCAGCAACGTCGCTGCCGCTAATGCTCCAATTGAAGCCGCAGGGCGGCGACATTTTGCTCACGCTGCTGCTGCTGCTGCTGCCGTTAGATTTGCGCTCAACCGTTTTAACTGTGTTGCCCTTTCTCCAGCTGTTGCTGCTCAAACTGGAGCTGCTGCCGCCGTGTGGCGCTAAATAGCGCTGCTGCTGCTGCTGCACGACGTTGTTGTCGTCCTCGATGACCAGCGGCACGTAGAAGGTGGAGCGGCGTCGCTGTGTCTTCTCCTCCTGCGTTGGCGTCGCTGCGGCACCACTGTCGCTGCTCTCGGCGCTGTTTCTAGTCGTTGTTGTTGTGCTGCTGGCGTCGCTATGCGCCTGCAACATTTTGCGCGTTTGTTTTAATTGTTATTCCTGCTGCTGCTGCGCTCAGGCGCCGCGCACAACATCGCTCTCTCTCACACACACACAGGCACGCACGCGCGCGCACGACTGGATGAAGAGAGCGCAGTGTGCAGGTATTTCTATGTGAGTGTGTCTCTCTGTGTGAGAGAGTGTTTTTCTGTTTCTGTATGCTTGTCCGTTTGTTGTGGCTTCTTTGGCTGCTGCTGCTGCAATTTGCTGACAAGCAATTTTTTCTTTTTTGTTTTTGCTGTATTTCTTTATGCTTTTTTGCTCGGTTTCGTTTGTTGTTGTCGTTGTTGTTGCTGATGCTTGTGTCGCTTGGCTTATAAAAATTATGCGCTCAAGTGCATTTCCGCGTTTGCGAGCGAACGTTTTATATTATGTTTTCTGCTTTACAGTTTTTTCACGCGTCGTTGTCGCCAGTTGTTGTTGTTTGCTGTTTGTTTTATCGCGGCTTCGCATCACATTCGCTGCGTTTTGTTGCATGCAACACAGCATATAATGACTTCTTGTACGAAATACACACACACTTTTGATTTGTTTTAAATATCAACAAAAATTTCACAAATATCAAAACAAACGGTTCGAAACAATCACAATAAAAATAACATTAAAAAAAAACATTTACGCACGCACAAAGTGAAAGAGAGAAACGGTGCTAAAGTAACGCGACACTCGGAAGATGAGGATACATTGTATATGGAAAACTAAACCACTAACGCAACAACAAAAAATAAAGACAAGGCAGAAAAACGCATTGGAAGGCGTCTGCGTTATTTTCGTCTTCCCGCTTCGCTACCACTCGCTGACGCGCCTTTCTCACAACTGACGCTGCCGCCGCCGACGCAGCCGTTGCTACAGCGGCGGCGACATGGCCACGATAAAAATGCGAGAGAGCGATTGGCGAGAGAGTGAGAGAACGATCGGCGCTGTTTGTTTAAAAACAGGGCTGGAAGGTAACACAACCAATTGGGAGTTGTTTATGTTTATATTTGCTTTAAGTGAATTTTAATTTATTATCTCATAAAACTGGGAATATAATTATGGCAAATATTGCAAAATATACAATCGGCCATTTGCACTCAATTATTTGTTTTCGATCTTTAACAATATAACTATAACCGACTGCAAAAGTAGCCAAACAAATCTTTTTTAATTAATGCTACAAATAATTTAAGCTTTTCGTATCATATTTACTCATTTTCTATAAAAACATCAGTTGAAAATTTACATTTAAAAGTCGCAGCCCTGTTCTTTTCAAGAGAGCACACCACAGTGTATCCAAGCGACGCTGTCAAATAGAAACAGTGCTACCCATGCGCGTTGACAAAGCCACCGAATCGGTAATACAAGTCGGCAGCGTGAGCGAGATAGCGCGACAAAGTGCAAGGAGCGTGAGAGAGCGAGTCAAGACTCAGTCATGCGAACACACAAATGCACTGCAATTGAGAATATGCCCAAACATACATACACATATAAACACTTTAATACATGAATATATAAATAAATATGTATATAATATGCGCATGTACATAACATAAAGCAATTTAAATTGGTCAACAAAGCTGTCAAAGCAAATCTTATTTAATAATAATAAAAACTCTCGCTTCAAAAGTGTTATCAACAGACTGTGAAGGAGATTGATAATAATGTTTAAACTTGCACTCTTATAACATACATATGTATGTACATACATATATTAAAAAAATATATACAATGTACATTTATTTCACATTTATGAGCAAAACTGTCACAGCTAATTGATTTTCTCAAGTCTTTTGTGATAATTGATAATAAAACACACAAGAAGGGAGACGAGCTTCGCCCCCCCGCGGACTTCTTTCTATTGTACTAACAAGTTTCTCGTGTATTTCGATCGTATCGATAGATTTTGCATGCATGTTTGTACGTGTCCGTGACAAGTCGCATACAAAACAGTCAAATACATGCACAAACATGTTTTTCTTTTTTACTGATGCGCATGTACCAAATCGTATCTGCATACCTGCATGCCGTAGCAAAGCACAAATATGTATTTATCAAGGGTGAGCAATATGCCCGATTGTCTTAGGCGCAGCGCAGTGTATTGTAAGAAATGGAATTGAAGGCAAAACAACGGCAACAGCAGCAACCGGAGAGAGCACAAGTGGAGGAAGAATGTAAGTGGAGAAGTAGATGCCGAAACAAGACGCAGGCATAAGCCATACGAGGCATAAGGGCGTGAGTGGCAATGTGGCTCGTAATTGATCTAATTGAGCGCAGGTACACACACATACACACACACGCACACTTTAATATTTTATGTGTCTGTGTGTGGGACACAAGGCGATACTTGGGCACACAGGCAGCGCATAATAAGCAAATTAGAGGCGTACATTTCCAACCCCTCTCCATCTCTCTCACACACACACATACATGCACACACACACACACTATCTCGCTCAGCAGCAGTTGGCTGCTTAACGGAAGTGCGTGACTTTTCTGTTTTACGTGTTTTTGCCCTTCTCTTCGCTTTCATCCTCAACACCTTTTGCGGAACTGTGCGACTTATTTATGAAGCTTAAAACAAGCCATTTCCAGTTCTATTTCCATTTGCATGACCATTTGCGTATGTCAGCGGCACAGTGAACTGTTAATGCGGGCCTTACTAATATTACGGTTTCTTCACCCCCTTCACCCACCATATCCACCTACAAGAACGACCTCACGCATAGCCCCAGCGTATGCTATGCTAATGTGTTACGCAAGCGCTGCAAAGTATGCAACAGCAATTGCGGCTTTAACTTTTGAGCTGCCAATTCGTCGCGCTTAAAGATGGCCGCGTGTCAACATTTTTAATCGATATTCGATAACACGATCGCAAATCGGTGCTAAAAATTGTTAAACTATGTTCGCATTTCGTCAATCAGTGAAGCTGCAAAGTAATCGATGGTAGCCACATTCGATAGTTTCGATAGTTCGATAAATACTATAGACAAATGAATCTTTATGTTCTTTAGATCTTTTTTTCTTTTTATAGTATACCTAATATAATATATACAGAAAATATTGTGTTGAAAAACTATCGATAAAAGAAATCGAAAAATCTTAAAACATATTCAAACTATATTTGGTATTTTTCAAATACTAAGAAAACTAGTTTAAAATACGTTTAACTAGATAGTGTGTGTTGTGAATGATATTGGCGCACCCGTGAGTCTTGCGTATTGGGTTTCGGGAGGAAAAGAACACCTCACATGTTTATCTCTAGTATTCTTGAAATTCTTAATGCTTTCGATAGCAGATAATCCGAGCCGTAATCCCAAATTGAATACTCATTTCCGTCTAACGTATTTCGCTATATTAACTCTATTTTGTAATAGATTATAATGATCTAAGGGAACTAGTATTTTCTGTACACATGTCTTTTTGATAATCGATAGATTTTAGTTGAAATATTTTCTGCATATTTGACTTTAAATTAGGGTAGCTAATAGCTCTATAAGTCTGCCTTTAACAAGCATTGCCCAACAAAGAAATCGTTTACCTTCGTTCAATGACGTATCGTTTAGCGCCGTATCAAAGTGTATTCGAGGCAGTGTCTTCGATTTGTACTCACCTGCAAATAAAAGAAGAGAGAGAGAGAGAGAGAGAGAATGAAGGTTAGGCAATTGTGTATAGAGTATTATCAATAGTGCGTGTATATAGATAATGGGCATTATTTAATGCTAGTTACAGTTAGTTCTCAAGTGAACCGAAACGCAATAAAGCGACCCATTTACATGGTTTGACCTTTTGCTCGGGTGCAAATTGCTTGGCGATGTCAAGTTGTTACGAATTCATTTCAATTAATGCAAAATATGAATAGCCGACGGCAACAACAAAACTGACAACAACTTTAACAACAATATTGACAGCAACAACAACAAAATGCGCCAATTCAGCGCCGAGCGCAATTTATGTGCATACAGAAATGTGTCGTCAAATGACAAAGACTTCGCTTCGTTCAGTTAAAGATACAGATACAGTAACAGATACAGATACAGATACAGATACAGATACGTTTACACAAAAGATACGCGCATTCAGTAGCAGCAGCTGTCAAAGCAGCAACGACCCACAGGGGCAAGGGGCAAGGGGTGCGGCACGTGTGTGAATGCCCATTGAAATGGCCTTCGCTTAGAAAGTCGTCGTCTCCATGACCATTCAACACACTCCCCCCTCTTCCGCCCCACACTGGAGTTGCTTCCAATTGAGGGCAGGCCCTGCTGACGTAGCGATCAGACGGATAGAAAGCAATTGTACGCGTTGCTCGACCAGCAGATACTCTGTTTACAGTGTAAACATAACCTAAAATAAATTAATACTCACATCCTGTTTAGAATTTACGAGTTTTGGAAAGCTTCAACCACTTTTAGCTAACTATTAACAAGCATTGGAAAGCTGGAAACACTTTCAGCTAGGTATTTACAGGCGTTGGAAAGATGGAAGCACGTCTAGCGAGGTATTAGCAGGCATTGAAAGGCTAAAAGACTTCCAGCGAAATATTAGAATTGGAAAGCTGGAAACGTTTCCATCTAAGTATGTACAGGAATTGGAAAGCTGATAATAGTTTCAGCAAACAACAGGCATTGGAAGGCTTGAAAAACGTCCACCTAAGTATTTACAGGCAAGGGAAAGCTGCATACACTTCCACCGAAGTATTAACAGGCATTGGAAAGCTGGGAACATTTGCAGCTAAATATTTACGAGCATTCGATTATTGGAAAACCTTCCACAATTAAGGACTGGGAGAGATTTCCCAATAATATTTCCGGGGATTGTAAAGCTAGAAAGGCAGTTTAAAATGTGAAGCCAATATATATTTAGCTACTCTGACTATTTGTTGATAACAAACTAAGTAACTACTGTGCCTATCATGCGGTTGCTCTGAAGATTGGCAATAAAAAACTCGAATTCTTAGATAAATATCAAGTAAATATCGTCTTACTTTGATATTATATACCTTTTTAAATTCGTACGGATCCGTACTATCAATTGGCATTCAAACAAATTAAAAATCGATGGCTCAAAAAAAGTTGTTGACCCAAAAAACAATTCGTTTGTAAAGTCAACCTTTTTTTATGATTTTTTGGAATATATCAGCCAAATACTGTCCGATTTGGGAATTTTATACCATTTTGGACTCGTTAGGAGCAGTACTATCGATTGGCAAATTAATTTTGATAATTTTTTGATTATCTCGGGTAGTTATCGTCTGATTTTGAAATGTTATACCGTTTTAAATTCGAACGGTTCCCTACTATCGATTGGCTATCAATTAAATCTAATATCAGGGGCTAACATCAAAGTTTTTGATAGAAAACCACCTCTGTAATGATGTCAATCTTTTTCGTGATTTTTTTGGAATATCTCGAACAAATAATGTGCGATATATGAATTATATACCATTTTCGACTCGCACGGATCATGACTAAAGGTTAAAGAGCTCAGATTTTGAATTATCAAAAAGTAGAATTGTACGATATATTGAACGATAAGTTGACAGTATTAAGTTATATTTGCTTGAAGAGTAGCTATATATAAAATTCTTCTTTATTTCAGATCTATAGATTCACAAACTAGACGGATTTGGTCGCTAAAGCTTGATCTCAATAAAAGATAGATATCATAAGAGATGCCTACTATAACCAAACTTTTGCAACATTATAACAAAACTCTTTCAAACGACTTGTTTTACAGGGTACACGAAATGTGACGAGCAAAGGAAGCGCTGGCAATAAACTACGTGCACATAAAATGAAACCAATGCTGTACTCCCAGATAGTCCGTTTGGAAGTT